CATTTGAGCTTGTGTGCAGCGGGAATCCAGGGGAGGGCTTTAAGCAGAGGAGTAAAAGGACCATATTTGCATTTTGAAAAGATCCCCTTGGCAACAATGTAAAGAATGGACTGGAGGTGGGTGAGAGTACAGGCAGGGGGACCACTTAGGGAGAGATGGGTGGCTCAGGGAGGAGATTACCAAAGCCTGAACAGAAGCAATAGCAGGACCCCAAGAGGAGGAAAGTAAAGATGTTCAGGAAATGGAATCTGTGGGACGTGCAGCCCAAGATGGTGCCCAGGATTTGGGGGTATGGTGGTGCCACACACCCTGGGGAAGAACATGAGCTCAGCGCTGATCCAAGTGCCTGGTTTATTTTTCCCCACAATCTATCCTTTTTTTCATCATAGTTTCTAGTTTCTCCTTTGGTGTTATGCCTAGAAAAACTCTCACTTGAAGATTATGTAAATATTTACCTACAGTTTTTCCTGTTGTTTCTTGTGGGATTTTTAAAAATATTTAAATCTGTAACTGGAATTTATTTTGATTTTTAGTGTAGCGTAGGATCTGTTCTTATTGCTTTACAAATATTTAAACACTTAGATCAGTGCCTTTCCCCAGTGATACAAAATGCTACTTAGATACAGGTTATGGACTTTTTCTGAAGGTTCTTTTCTCTTCCGTTGATCTAATTATTTTTAGCTTTTTATGCAACTTAACTATGAGTACTAATTTATAACCCAATTAACTTTTAAATATTTTTCACTTTTTTCTTATCTCTATCCTGATTTTTCTGTAATCAAAATGTATTGTGTAATAAGTTTTTATATCACACAACTCAATGCTATGAATGTTTTAATGTGAAATGTTCATATTATTTTTATCTTCCAAGCAGTCTGTAATTACATACTTTATTGCTCATTGATTCAAGATTTAGGAGAGTGTGTTTCAATTTCCAAGTGGCTGCATTTTTGTATTGTTTTGTGTTATTGTAGTTTATACTTTGACTATTAATTGTTGGTTTTATGTAATATTTGCTCTGGGATTAGTTGATGTGTGCTATAGTTTCTTATTCTTTTTTTTTTTTTTACTTTGAAGCTTTCTTTATAGTCTAATATGTTGTCAGTTTCCAGTTATTCTGTTCGTATGGCTTAGAACTTACTACATAAGCTATTAAATGAGCCTTTTTATTACAGTCTGCTATAGTCTCATTTGTTTTGCAAACGTCAGAATTTTTACAACTGCTATGTTTCTTTTTTCTTTGTCTTTTTTTTGGTGAGTGAGATTCGCCTTGAGCTAACATCTGTGCCAGTCTTCCTCTACTTTGTACGTGGGATGCCGCCACAGCGTGGCCTGACGAGTGGTGTGTGGGTCTGCACTGGGGATTCAAACCAGCGAACCCCAGGCAGCAGAAGCAGAGCACATGAATTTAACCCCTTCGCCACTGGGCCAGCCTCTCTAGCAATTTCTTTTAAACTTTTTTTGGTTTATATATTTTAATGCTTTTTTCAGTACATCAGGTTCCCATCATTATTTTTTTCATGTGGATGGTTCCCTTTATTATTTAAAAATTACATTTGACCCATTTCATGTTTTTGTCTCATTTCTACTATGCTAGATAGTAATATTATAACTACATTTTTGCCTATCCTTTAAAAATTTTTTATGAAAATTTTCATACAGAAAATAGTACGTGAACCAACCAAGATTCATCAGTTATCAAGATTTTGTCACATTTGCTCCATTAATCCCTTTCATCCTTCTCTTTTTAAGAAATCCCAGACATCACATCATCTCCCCACTACGTATTTCAATATTCATCTCTTAATTATCTTTTCAGTTAATTGGTGCAAAGCAGGATCCAAATAAGGTCCACACACAGGATTTGGATGTTAGGTCTCTTAAGCCTTTTTTTTTTTTTTTTTTTTTTTTTTTGAGGAAGATTAGCCCTGAACTAACTGCTGCCAATCCTCCTCTTTTCACTGAGGAAGACTGGCCCTAAGCTAACATCCATGCCCATCTTCCTCTACTTTATATGTGGGACGCCTGCCACATCATGGCTTTGCCAAGTGGGGCCATGTCCACACCTGGGATCTGAACCAGCGAACCCTGGGCCACCAAAGGGGAACATGCGCACTTAACCACTGCGCCACCAGGCCAGCCCCAAGCGTCTTTTAACCTAAAGCTCCCCCTCCTTCCCTCATCTTGCCCCACTCCATTGACTTCTTGAAGAACAAAAGGTCAAATGTCCCACATTTTGGATTTCCCTTTATTTCTTCATGGCATCATTTACTGGTTCCTCTATCCCTGATATTTCCTCCGAATTAGAAGTTAGTTTTAATGCCTTGATTAAATTCAGGTTCAACTTTTTGGCAAGAATCCTTTCAAATGGTGCTGTGTATTGAATATAGTATATCAGAAAGTACATAATATAGGCTTGGCATCAGGTGACAACCTGATCACTGTCATGTCCCTCATCAACCTTTCCTTTAATCATTTTCAACCATTGATGATCTTTGCCTGAGCAAGCTGTTTCATCAGGGATTACAAAGTAGCGATTTTACTGTTGTTACTTTTCTTTCCCCGTTTATGAACTGGAATACTTTGTAAAGAACTTTCTCTCATCAACTAGGTCTATTGGTTTATCTTGAAATACAGTTGTTCAAAAAGGCAGGATAAATGTGTAAATTTTTTTCCCTCAATGCCAGTTTTTAGAGCAATGACTTGATTGACACATCCAACTCATCCTTTTTTAAAACTTTTTTTACAGGATGGACAGCTTGTAGTTGGCTTTTGGGTTGACCCAGTTTGAGTTTTTGCCTCCTAGTAGGGATCTTCACCAATTCATAATTATCCTAAGGATGTTTGGTTCTGTATGTGTGCTACTTTTGGTTTCGCTGATTTCTATCTTTAAGTTTTGCTATAGAGGATGTACTTTATTTTCCTCTCTAGTGACTTGAAAAGCATCCTATTTTACGAGTGATTATTTTTAATGTAAAATCAACACATGCTCAATGCAAAAATTTCAAACAATCCAGGAGGGTATAAAATTTAAAAGTGCCCCAATCCTAGCCACATGCCCTGGACTCAGCATATTCTCAGTTGTTCATTGCTGTTCCTTCCAGTAAATCTTCCAAAGGTTCTCCTCTGATACTAGAGACTCCTCCCTTTATCTACATATTTTTTGAGGAAGATTAACCCCGAGCTAACATCCACTGCCAATCCTCCTCTTGTTTGCTGAGGAAGACTGGCCCTGAGCCAACATCTGTGCCCATCTTCCTGTTTTATATGTGGGATGCCTGCCACAGCATGGTTTGATAAGTGGTGCTAGGTCTGCGCCCGGCATCCAATCTGGCGAACCCCAGGCCTCTGAAGCAGAGCATGAGAACTTAACTCCTATGCCACCAGGCTGGCCCTGAGACTCCTCCCTCCATGTTACAGAACTTTCATAGGACTCATGTTGGTTCTTTCCTTGAACATGAGTTCTAACCATACTCCAGAAGCAACCTGAATGGCTTTTGCTTAGATTATCCCTGTTTTCACTGGTCTGCATCCTTAGATCTTCATGGATGGCTCGGTGCCAGTTCAGTGATTCACAGCCTGAGGGGAGGGAGTGTGTGGTACTCATTTTTCTGTTTTGTGCATTCAAAGTCTTCTGGCACAGCTACCACTGAACATCACAGATTATAACTAAAGCAGCTCCAAGCGGAAGACACACTGCCCCTCATCTACATATTACCTTCAACCTAGCCCCTACCCCTACCCGTTAGGGGTGATGGTGCCCAAGCTCCCCTCTGCTCCTGTCCTTTAAATTGCTTTCTTAAGTGCTATCAGCCATTGTTGCTCTTCTTCAATAAAGTCCATCCGTAATCCTTGATAGAAACGTCACAAAGTTGTTGGCCTGTGCATGCTACCCTTTCCCTTCTAGGTTTTCCCTAGGATGTAAGCCATATCAAGTGAGATGCCTTTGCTTAGATCACTTTCTTACGTAGAAACTTCCTGGCTTATCTCATTTAATCCTCATTACAACTCTGATGTTTGTAAATGAGAAAAGGAAAGTCCCAAGAGAGTAAATAATTAACCTAAAACTAGCAATTAAATGGTCAGGGGAGTAAGTGGTAGGCACACCAGGTCCTCTGACTTCAAGGGCGACAGAACTCCTTCCACCACTGCACCTTACTTTAAACCACCTGTATTTTCTGGCATTGGTCAAGAGTCCTGCTAACTATAATAAACAGTAGGAATTTTTAAAATCAGAAGAAGGAATTAAAATAATTTTCTATGTTCAAACACAAAGCTGTAACCAGTTTTAACTTTGTGACAAAATTTCCTTTTAAACCACAATTATGGGGCTCGCCTGGTGATGTAGTGGTTAAGTGCGTACGCTCTGCTTTGGCGGCCCGGAGGGTTTGCGAGTTTGGATCCCGGGCGCAGACCTACACGCTGCTCATCAAGCCATGCTGTGGTGCGTCCCACATACAAAATAGAGGAAGACTGGCACAGATGTTAGCTTAGCAACAATCTTCCCCAAGAAAAAAGGAAGCCTGGCAATAGACACTAGCTCTGGGCCAATCTTCCTCACCAAAAAAAATTTAAAAATTAAAAATAAACAAACCACATTTATGCTGAAGAGCTGAAGCACAGAAAAGCCGATCCCTGCTGCTACTCACCCTGCTGTTACACCTGCAATTTGGCCCATCTGTTCTTCTGACTCACTAAGGGACAAAGGAGCACTCCCTAGGGACCAGTGGTTTGAAAGCAGAGAGGAAGTTCGAGGGAATCAGTAGATAATGAGTCCTCTTTACCATATTCCAGTGAAATACACTGTCCTCGGCCCTACTGTTATTTGTGAGGACTGCAGCAGCCCTGGGCACTCAGTAATTGACTCTACTTACTCTAACCGTTAGACATCCGGACCAGCCACACCTGTATGCTCACCTTTCCATTTTAACAAAAATCCCCCTTCCAAGGAGGTCACCTCAGAGTTCTACCTATCTCAACCACAAAGGAGCAGACACACATAGCACTATACAATTATTTTTAATGTCCGGAGTTTACAAGACGAGCACCAGAGCTTTCTCCCCAACTCCAGTTTATAAATTCTCAATTGGCTTGTGAGGCCAATAAGGGTACTTCTTCTTGTCTAATTTGGTTTCTGGGAAGACTTCATTCAAGTCCTCAATGGTCATCTGATCAAATGGAATTATGTTCTTCATCTTCTCCAGCTGGAAAGAAAGGAAATGTGTTAAGATAAATAGGGCCACAGAGATACAAAAAAGAATCCAAGGCAGGTTGCTGCCACTAGGTGAAAGATGTGTGACTGTGAAAAGAGACAAAACTATTACCAGCAACAGCCAAGGCTTATCCTTACCTCCTTCTCATATTCCTCAATCCTGGCCTTTGAGAGAGACAAAAACTCAGCACAGCTTTTCACCTTTAAGAGAAGAGAGAAATTCTGTTTTGAAACCAAGTTGTACTGTCCTGACCCTGAGGCTCCCAAGGTATGAGAAGTCCCAGAGCCCACTCTTGCCTTCCCACTCTGTATGGATAATACGTGGCTGCCCTGCCTACTGGGGGAGCTTGCTTTGAGAGGCAAACTACAGCTTTTTCTAAAGGCACACAGAAGCCCGTTCAGGAGAACAAGAGTACGATGACAGGACCAGGGTTCTTCAGCGAGTTACTCATCTAGGCAACCTACAAAAGGCCTGCGTTTCATAAGGGCCAGTTATTGAACGGTCGGGACAAGCCGCCTGACCACCTAGCCAGAGGTCTCTTTGGTGGAGCGACTGGGTTCCAACATTTGGTCGTCAGTACTTTCAAGCAGTTAGGTATTTGAATCCTACCATGGATAATCTTCCTATTCAATTCCAATTCCTTAATTGTTTTTAACAGCTTTGTTGAGGTGTAACTGACATACAATAAAATATACCTATTTAAAGACTACCACTTGATAAGCTTTTCTTTTGAGGAAGATTAGCCCTGAGCTAGCTGCTGCCAATCCCCCTCTTTTTGCTAAGGAAGACTGGCCCTGAGCTAACATCCGTGCCCATCTTCCTCTACTTTATATGTGGGACGCCTACCACAGCATGGCATGCCAAGTGAGGCCACGTCTGCCCCCGGGATCTGAACCAGCGAACCCTGGGCCACTGAAGCAGAACATGCAAACTTACCCGCTACACCACCGGGACAGCCCCCACTTGATAAGTTTTGATATATGTACCCACGTGTGAAACCAACCCCACAATCAAGACAGTGAACAAATTTATCAGCCCCCTCCCTCCCATTCCCAGGCAACCGCTGATGTGCTGTCACCATAGATTAGCTGCATTTTCTAGAGTTTTATTTTATTGCTCCTTTTAATTCACTCTGCTGTAACCTAACCACTAAGAAATACAGAGCCGTCAGGAATTAGAATTTTAGAATAAGTAAGAGTCTTAACTACTTACATCTTCTTTTTCTTCAGCATCCACCTGGACAGTATATTTATCCTCCGGCACAGGAACCTTCAGGGCATTAAACTACAAACACAGGGACACTGAGTTGTCATTAATATACCCAGGAGCCCACAGAAAGGGCTCAAAGGCGCTAATCCTTACAGATCATATCAAAACACATTCTCCGTTCCAAGAGGAAACCAGTATGCGTATCGGGTGTTGTAGTGGAAAGAGTATTAGACGGGGCACAGGAGCTCCCATTTCTTCTCTGCCCTGTGACTGACTAACTGGAGACCTCGGACAATTCTTTATTAGGATGAGCCTCAGTTTCTTCACCTGAAAAGAACAGTTGGACTTGATGACCTTGAACCTTGGCGTTCTAAAGAAATTCTGATTTCTCTTTTAAGTGAAACCCTAGTGGGCTGATCGGTGGAAGTACTGTTTGCATGATGGAGATGGAGACGGGCTCTTCAGAGGCTGCTTAGGGTTGTCGCCCCAACACTGAGCACTGTACCTGGCACAGAGCAGGCCCTCGACAAGCACCTGTTGAATGAATCAAGAACTATATACTGAGGTTTAACGTGTAATTATCAGAAGAGGATAGGTGGATGAGAAATCACAGCTAGAAAGGACAGTAAACAACAGCAGAGAAATGAAGAAAATGGTGAAAGGTAGAAAAGATGTCAGTTTGTTCTAAAGGGGGACAGGTTGGGGGCTAAGAAATAATTCAGGAAGAGTTCACGGAAATATTTAACTTGACAGCCGTCTGGCTCCCTGATTTAAGGCTATACTGTACTGTTTCTTTGGATAAGAAACTGGCTGAATGAAGAAAGCCTGAATTCTCTGCACCTATTTACCATTTCAATCTACCACTGCAAGACCTGCGGCCACACCCATCTCTCCTGAGCTTCCTCTGGGGTCTGAGTGTTAACGCCAGCCTTCTTTCCTCACTGTCATCCTCATAGTTTCTACCATCCTGCTCCCTAGCTGGAAACCACATTACAACACCACTGCTCTAGTCGCCTGAAGTCTCACCTTCTTCTCAAAGTCATCTACCAAGCCCGCCTTCGCCACGTTGGCCTTGTAGTACGCCCAGTCGATAGCTGGTGGAGCCTCAGGCAGAGTAGCCAACCTGCTCACAGGGAAAAGCAAAGACTAAGATTGCCGCATGAGCAACAGAAAATCCACACAGGAATTTCCCTGTTCCTTATTCTGATGGCCTGGAGCTGTGATCACACTTTTCTCTAGGAGACATCACAGGAATGTAAAAAATTTAATTTCATTTGCAAAATGCATGGATTTCTTTACACTTTCTGTCAGAAGAGCATCAGAAATTCACATGTAATTCCAGAGCACTGTTTTGTTTCCACAATCAGTGGCAAGTTGAGAGGCTCCCTCTCAGAGAGGTACTGACCTGGAGGTGAGGGTCTCATTCCAGGATTTCAGGGAGTTGGCAATGGCCTTCTGGTTTCGGGGTATGATCTCCCCAAAAGCTACCCAGTCAATGGCTTTTAGAGCAAGTTTTCGCCCAGCCATCTTGCAATCCTAGAAAATAAAATGGATCAGATCAAAAATTCGGCTCCTAGAAAGAATCTTCTAAAGGGCATTTTAGAAACATGCAAGTCTTGGGGCTGGCCCTGTGGCCGAGTGGTTAAGTTCGTGCGCTCCCCTGCAGGCGGCCCAGTGTTTCATTGGTTCAAATCTTGGGCGCGGACATGGCACTGCTCATCAAGCCATGCTGAGGCAGCGTCCCACATGCCACAACTAGAAGGACCCACAACGAAAAATATACAACTATGTACCAGGGGGCTTTGGGGAGAAAAAGGAAAAAAATAAAATCTTTAGAAACATGCAAGTCTTTAAAAAACAGACCAGCATCCTCTGAGTGCTTGGTGGGTAAATTTATCAAGTAAAGGAATTACGATTAATAAAGCAGAAAAGGAGGACAGGTTAGCTTCTCAAATTCAAGTTGTGCAACCTGGCATATAAACATATTCTTTCTCCTAGATGGTCCTCCCTGTATTCCCCAACTCCTAACACATCCTTACAAGCCCAGTTCTCTGTTTGCTCTCCATGTGCCTTTAGAAATATTGCTGGGGGCCGGCCAGGTGGTGCAGTGGTTAAGTGCGCATGTTTCGCTTCAGTTCGGATCCCAGGTGTGGACATGGCACCGCCTGGCAAAAGCCATGCTGTGGTAGGTGTCCCACATATAAAGTAGAGGAAGATGGGCACAGATGTTAGCTCAGGGCCAGTCTTCCTCAGCAAAAAGAGGAGGATTGGCAGCAGATGTTAGCTCAGGGCTAATCTTCCTCCAAGAAAAAAAAAAGAAATATTACTAAGGTAATACTCATGCATTGCATACAAGTTAATAATTTAGATATATTTTCCATTCCGATTGTGTTTTATTCACTGATTCTCCAGTGCACAAAACCTGACACATACCCAAGTTTCAACAAGGCTTAGTTAAATAGAGCAGAGTCTCAGCCAGAATTTCCTCACCTGAAAATGGGGATAATATCAGCCCTGCTTACCTCAGAAAGCTGTTAAAAGTAGCAAATGAAATTGTGCACATCAGTTTGCTCCACAGTCTTATACAAACTTCAGAGGCTCTTTACCCCCTCCCTATCAGACTGGCAATATACCAACATCTTCTTATTCATGTCTGATTATCCCCTGCTGCACTAACACACACCGAGTACACTAGCAATACCCTTAAAAGCGGTATTCAACACATATGTGCATGTGAGAGAAGATGGAGAGTGATTACAGCCATCTTTTTTTAACCAAGAGAGAATATGGAAAATAGTCAACTTAAACGAAATAAGATCAGTGTCACACATTAACAGGAAGACTGAAACGTCAAAGGTCTTTACAAACCATGGGGTGGATCACAAGGGAGGTGGAAGAAATCTTTCCCAGGATCTTAAAAAGAAACTTGCCAACACCTGCCGTTTCCTTTCTTTCCCTCTCAGGACAGCTTATGTTTCCCGGAGTGGAGGTGAGAGCAGGTGACTCTCAAAGATGCCAGAGAAATGAGCGCTCTTACAGAGACTTTCCCAGCACCAGTAGCAGGCAGGCTGCATAAACGAACGGACTTTCGTCTTTCATTTATTGCTGAATGCCCGGCGCCTGGAACAGGTCATGCACATAGGAGGTGCTCAATGAAAACATGTTGAACGGGTAAGTGCACCAGGCACTTGAGAAGCTCTGAACGCTCCACACACTCGAATGCGGGAGCCCTCGGGAGCGAGGGGAGGGCGCAGCCTTCAGCCCACTGAGTGTCCCTCTGCAAATTAATGCTATCTCCGGGTAACGTTTCCCCAGCCCCCAAATCGGACTACTGAAGTCGCCCGCGCTGGCGGCGGCCTGAACGAGACAAGGTTTGTGCAGGCGCCTAAGTCGGCGGCGGCCGGGTCACAGCCTGATCCCTGCGACCTCGCGCGCTGGGGACGGGAGGGGAACGGAACGCGGAGCAAAGCCGCGGCAGCTACCCCCAGGCAGTCTGCCAGCAGAGCCTCAGCAGGGCCCGGCGGCCTCGGCAGGGGTGCGACAAGGGTCGGTGCGAAGCTCGGAGGCGGCAGGGCAGAGGAACCTGGCAGGGAACGGGTCCAACACCCAAAACCCCACTCACCTTCACCGACCCCGGCAGCCCGCAGTCCCCAGCAGCGAGCAACGGAAGTGGGTCACCGGAAGGCCTCCCCTCAGCCAACCCCTAAACGAAAGGGGCGGACCTTGCTTCTCAGGTGAGCCAGTAGAGATGAAGACTGGCTCCGGAAGTCCCGCCCCCGAGAGCGGGCACGGCACCTCCACTGCGCAGGTCCCCGGGCGCTGGTTGGGGGCCCTCCCATCCCTCTCTCCCGGCCCCACCCCCGCCGATGGGCCGGCCCGGCTCTCCCTGCCGAGAGATGGGCCGGCCCGGCGGCGCGCGGGCAGCGGCGGCGGCGGCGGCGGCCCAAGATGGCGGAGCTGCAGCTGGACCCGGCGATGGCTGGGCTGGGAGGGGGTGGCGGGAGCGGGCTGGGCGACGGGGGCGGCCCGGGCCGCGGGCCCCCCAGCCCTCGCCCCGCTGGCCCCACGCCCCGCGGGCACGGCCGCCCGCCCGCCGCCGCAGCGCAGCCGCTGGAGCCCGGTCCCGGACCGCCCGAGCGGGCAGGGGGCGGCGGCGCAGCCCGCTGGGTCCGGCTGAACGTGGGAGGCACCTACTTCGTGACCACCAGACAGACCCTAGGCCGGGAACCCAAGTCTTTCCTCTGCCGCCTCTGCTGCCAGGAGGACCCGGAGCTGGACTCGGACAAGGTGCGCCCCGCCCTCGGGCGCGCCCCCGGCTTTCGGACCCCCTCGTTCCTCCTAGGCTCGTCCCCAGATTCCTGCGACACGCTCCTCACAGGCGGGCTCCTCCGGCCGGGTCCCCCTCCTTCTCCCTCGCCAGGCTAGCCCCGGGGGCTGTTCTCCCCCATCCTCAGGCGCGCCCCGGCTTTCTCTCTGACCCCGCCCTTCGTTCTCAGCGACTCTTTCCCCACTCCGTGCCCACCCGCACCCACGAGAACCCACTCCACACCCCTTCTCCGTATTCCTCTCATCCCAGCCCTCAGGTCTGCATGAGTTTTTCCCTGGCTCCCCGTCAGCCCCTCAGTGCCTGTGCCTGATGCATCCAGAACTGGGTCAGGGTGAGCTAAGGCATCTTTGTAGCTTTCTCAGACTTCCTCTCGGACCCCTCTGCCAAGTTGGGTGAAGGCCTGGGTCTGAAGATGGCTTCGACAGCTGCAGGAAGTGCTTCTCATGCTGTCACACTTCTTTCCTGTGGTCCTGTTCCCTGAGCTCCCATCTGGTAACAGTCACTGTTTTAGGTCCATATTTGAGATCAGATACTTTCCTTGAAAAGAGGTTACCATTTGCCAGTGCAAACCTAAGCTGAGTGGTTAAGATGGAGGGAAAATGATAACCGAAGAATGCTGTTGGACAAGATGCATGGCTGCTAACCAAAGGGTTGAGAGGTGACAAGACGCTTAACCCATTTCCCGTTTGAGCTGTTGTTTGGATTTTTTTTTAACTTTACCCGTTCACCTTTTAGTTCCCACCTTATAGGCATTGACCATTGCGTACACCACCTTATATCCCGAATAGTACTCAGTCACATACCTTGTGACAGAGTTGGGATTGGATAAACATTGGTTGATTTCATGTATTCATCTCCTGCCTCTCCTCTAATAAACCTCAGATTGATGGAAATCTGTCCTGCCCTGACTTTAAAGGGTTGTCAAAATCCTTGCTTATAAACGAATTATTTTTATCTACCCTGAATCTTCCTTGTTGCAACATAAGCCAGTTTCTTCTTGTTCCTTTTACTGTAAAGATGAGTAGGATTGAAGCTGCTCAGAGCCAAGTCCTGGCCGTGCCAAGCTTCCTCTGGGCACAGAGCTGCGGTGTGTCAGTTACAGCTGGCAATGCAGACTCCCACTGATGTTGGCCTTGAGCTCAGGAGTGTTGCCAACTAAACAGAGGTTTTCTTAGAATTAGGAATGTGATTCGGGGGCACTAGAGAAGTCAGAATGTCCGTCTCAAGAAAAGATTTAAATCATGCAGCTATGACATTTTCCTCCTCCCTTTCTTTATAACAAATATGCCACAGAAGAATGTTGGTTAATTGTGTCCAAGTAAAGATTTTAGTAGTTCAAGTAGATGCCTAGATGATAAGACTGCACATCTGTAACACCTTACCGGATATAGTCTTAAAGTACAAGATGTATAAAGCTAGGCTTCTTGCCAATAGTTTGTGATAAGCAAACATCTAGTAAAACTTGCCCTCTCATTAATGAATTGTGACAGAGAGGTTGAAACCCTGCTCTGACTTAGTTTGAAAGCTCCATAATGATACCCTTGTGTTTGGTTGGCAGGACGAGACAGGGGCCTATCTGATTGACAGGGACCCCACCTACTTTGGTCCTATCCTAAACTACCTCCGCCATGGGAAACTCATCATTACGAAGGAGTTGGCAGAAGAAGGTAAGAACAGTGTTTGCACTGGGCATTTTCAAAATTCAGGCCGAGTCTTTAAAGTTGTATCACAGACTTAAATCTTGTTTGTGATTTTCATCGAGTTCATGTGTAGGTGTAGTCTGGTTAATGGAAGTGAGCAGGGAGCCTCCAGCTACCTAGTCTTGTCTGAGGGAGTCTAGTTTAAGGGAGCCCCATTGGGCTTGTTCAGCCTCCTTACTGAGAAGGGAAGTAGGTAGCTCAGCATTGTAAATAGCTTCAGGAGGTTTTTTCAAACCTGCGAAATTGCCAGGATCCCTTTTTACATTTACTTCTGTGCCAGCAGTCAACGTCCATAGCCTGAAACAACACATCTCTGACATTTAGTTATTTATATTTTCAATTTTAGTTTGAACTTGCAGCTGTAAAAAATATAAAGGCTTGGCCTCATTTCTTTTAAGACTAGTCTCACGCTTCCTTGTAAATTTTTGCAGCTGACCTAATTCATTCTCCAGTCCAATGTCAGGTGCATCCTGGGTTGCCTCATCTTTTTGGTTTGTAGGGCATCTGGGCTGTAAGTGGGTCTAGAGAGCTTTCTAAAGGCTTGGCTTGGTCTCACCGAAGGCGTTCAGTTGAAGACTGGGACCTGTCCCTAACTCCAGGGAGCCCTGATCTGGGAGCTGTAGCTCTGAGTGAGAAAGCCGTAATGGCTGTGCTGGCTAATGAAGTGACTGCAGAACACCTCCCTTTCAACCAGTGAAAAGAAAACTCGCGCTCTCTTTTTATTAAGGCTCTCTTTTTTTTTTCCTTAACATTTCAAATGCATACAGAAGTCACAGGAATAGTACAATAAATCCCATGCGCCCACCATCTATCTTCAGCAATTACCGACTCATGGGGAATCTTGGCTCTTGAAAAGAGGAATCTTAAGCATTTTTTCTAATGCCTTTAAAAAAAACACTTTTTATTTTGAAATAATTTCAAACTTAGAGAAAAGGGCAAGAATAGTACAAAGAACTCCCTTTACCCAGATTCACCAATTTTTAGCATTTTTTGGTCATATTTGCATTATCATTTACCCATTCTCTCTCCTTCTCTTGCCTCTTCCCCTCCCGCCCTGTTTTTATTTCTGAACTATTTGAGAACAGATTATAGGCTTTACCCCCTTAATACTTCAATATGTATTTCCCAAGAACAAGAGTATTCTGTTACATAACCACAGGACAGTTCTCAAATTCAGGAAATTTAGGGTCAGGCCCCGGGGCCAAGTGATTAGAGTTCTGCACATTCCGCTTCAGTGGCCTGGGTTCACAGGTTTGGATCCTGGGCACAGACCTACTCCACTCATCAGCCATGCTGTGGAGGTGTCCCACATACAAAAAAATAGAGGAGGATTGGCACAGATGTTAGCTCAGGGCTAATTTTCCTCAAGCAAAAAAAGAGGAGGATTGGCAGCCGAGGTTAGTTCAGGGCAAATCTTCCTCAGAAAAAAGAAAAAAAAAAATCCAGGAAATTTAATATTGATAATATGTTTAGCTATAGCTTATATTCCAATTTTGTCAATTGTTCCAATAATGGCCTTTATAGCAAAAGTTTTCCTAGTATAGGGTCACACATCCCATTTAGTTGTCCTAAAGCATTTGATTTTGTTTCACATGGGATTCTTTCAATGATTGCCTTATATATTGCTGAAATAATAAGCATCCTATTAAATTTAGGCCACATAAACTTACACACACACACCCACCCTTGGTCATTTTTAGGACAAACTGGGTAAAAAAATGCAAGCTCAGGAGTTAACCAGTGGAATAGTTCCAGGAACTAGGTGACATACGGGAAGGAGGTCCTGCAGCTAATGGGCAGGTGCAGAGAGGGTCGAGGACGGTGTCAGGTGAGAACCCGTAGCGGGGAAATGAAGCGAGCAGAGCAGACCCTTGTGCTTGACTCAGTTTCGTTGGGGAAAAGGTAGTGGGTTCACCCTAAGCAGCAAAGAAACGTTCCGCAGGCTGAAGGAGGGAGACTAAACTTGCGCCTGAAAGATCCAGTTCTTAGCAAACACGTCAACTCCAGCCTCTTCCTGCCGCTTGCCGGGGAGTTCGCACACACCTCTAACTACAGTTTCGTCCTTTTTCTAGGTGTGCTGGAAGAAGCGGAGTTTTACAACATTGCATCTCTGGTGCGCCTGGTAAAGGAAAGGATACGGGACAATGAGAACAGAACTTCACAAGTAATGAGTTTTGAACTCTTAAGGGGAAAGTATCTCAAGTGGCTGTCTTTGTCCATGTGTCTGGGTGTGATTTGCAAAGGGTGATGTGCTGCTTGGTGAGAGCCCTGCCCCTCCCCTTGGAGCTGAAGGTCTGTGTGGAACACGGTCCGTCTGTCAGGCAGATAGCGCATACTCCTCCAGACTTGTTCAGAGCAAGGAAATAGAGAAGGAAAAATAATAAAGAAAACGAAACAGCCCATGTCCCCTTAGAAGAATGGGGAGGTTGTGGCTGCTCACCATATGGCAGTGGGAGGAGCCCACTGCACTTTAAGTCCAAAACCTGTTCTCTCAGACAGAATAGCTGTCTCCCTCCACGTAAAGACAGGATGGGGTCTTGCTTCCACCTGTTGGCCAGCCTTTAACGTGTGACCACGTCACATCCAGCTCCTGACAGCCACTTGAAACCCGCCTCATGGTGTAGACTTTAGAAGCTGCTTATGACTCATGCTTCTGAGAAAAATAATACCAAGCTTCTTTTTTTGTTATGAAGTCTGGATTTTTATACTAACTCAGTAGATATAGTAACAAAAATGAAACAATCTGCCACCTACTTTGAGAAGGGAAGACAGTAGGGCATACTTGGCTTATTTTATGTCACATCATCCATCATGTGTCTTAAGTGGCCCCAATGGCTTCTGTTAGGCCCTTGGGATTCTGTGACTAATAAGAGAAGGTCTGTGCCCTCGAGAAGCTTGAAGTCCAGCAGAAAGATGCTCCTTTTCATGTATTTAGGCTCTGTTTTAAGAAAGTACAACTGCAGTAATGGCAGAATGGGACTCCGCTGTGACCATCTGTCTTACAGCATCTTGCTTCTTATCCCATCGGAGACTGGTGGTGGGTGCTTTCTTGAGATCTTACCCATTGCACTGTAGAATTTTCATGTGATTAAGAAGAAGGCGATTTTTCTTTTCAAAAGTAAAAAATAATTCCTTGCTCTTCCTGTTAGACTTCATATATCAAAGTTATCTGGTTCTAAATGGAATTTTCTAGATGAATAACTACACCAGTGATAAAAAATGAACTCTCTTACCCATTTTATCTTCAGTACTTTGCAAAGGTGGAAAGAAGGGCTTGTTCTCTTCACTCCGGCCAGTAGTTGAAAGTTTCCTTTTTAATGTTCAAAGACGAATTTGTAGTAGGCTTACAGATCACCGTTTGAAATATGATCTATTGTCACCAATCTTTTTGCCATCTCATATTATATTTACATGTCATCTTTTGCTATTGTAGATATTTAATAGCTTAGACATTCTGAAAATCTAGCTTTATCCTCAATTTTCCATGTTCCAAAAAACTTTTGATTGCTTAGTATAAATTTTGATGGTACCATGAATTATGTAATTTGAAACCATTCAAATCCTCGCACCTGAACATTCTCAGTTCTTTGCCATTAGCTAATTCCTTGAGAACATTGTAAGATTTCTATTTGATGACAGCAATTAAGTTAATTAGTCCTCTAGATTCTGAAGGCTTGTGGATTTATACCCAGTTGGAAGCTTTTTTCTTCTAGGGATGTCAAGACCTTTTTGATGTTAATTGATCTTCCATCTGTCCTTTTTATTTAGCGAAACTCTGGGCAATGGATTTGATGTTCAAAGATACCCTCTTTTGCACTTAATTGCATGTGGCTTTAAGGTGAAGTTGGCTGTGTGTGGATTTCCATGGCTGTCTCTTCAGATACCTTATCTCCTTTAACTTGTCTGTGTTTAAGATTTTATTTTTCCTTTTTCTCCCCAAAGCCCACCCCACCCACCCCAGTCCATAGTTGTGTATGTTTTAGTTGTGGGTCCTTCTAGTTGTGTATGTGGGACCGCGCCTCAGCATGGCCTGATGAGTGGTTCCATGTCTGCACCCGGGATCCGAACCGGTGAAACCCTGGGCCGCCGAAGCGGAGCCCGAGAACTCAACCACTTGGCCCCAGGGCCGGCCCCAACTTGTCTATGTTTAAAGGAGAGACACGTGGTAGACATTCAGGCAAAGCCCAAGATGTGGGGGTCCTACCCCACCTTTTTTCAGTGACCTCTCATCTCTTTTAGTGGCTGCCACCATTCTCTTTCTTTGCTGTTTCCGATAATATTTTTTGCTAGGTGAGTAGTCTTGGTGCATTTGGGAGCACCAGTGGTTTACTGGTGAGAAAATAAAATGAGAAAAATAAAGAGACAATACAGACATCTTAAATATCTGGGACTTTGACAGCTGTGGCTAGTAGCATAGGTCTTTTATGATGCTCTGAGTCTTGTAATATAAAATACCTAGTTGTTTCCAAAGCGTGTGGTTAGAGCACTTGAAATCTTCAGAAGATCTGTCCTATATTTTATATGGAAGGAAATTTTTTTTATCTTAGTACCTTGGTTAATTAATGATAGCTGTACCTTGCTTAGAAGAAGAAAGCATAGAAGAAAGAATACAGTGTTATCAGGCAGACCTGGGCTCAAGGCCCAGCTCTACCTCCAATCCACTTAATCGCTGCACAGGTCAGGAAGATGCTGCTGCCTGACACGGTGTCCCACATGCAGAAGGGAGTCCTGCCTTCCAGGACTGCAGTGAAGACTAGAGGAGGGTGTAGTGCTGCGGGCTGTGGCCCTCAGTAGTCAGTAGCTGCTTTTATTTATCCAGTGTTTCCCAAGTAGTGAGTCGTTCTAAAACTAATTTTCCAGATGACTGAAGCCAACTCGTCCTTTTGAAAAAATACTAAGTTTTCATCGTTCTTAAGGAAACAGTCCATATTTTCTTAGAATCGTATGGAACATAACTGACCCCTCTCTCCATGACTGGGCATCGTTGCTGTTTGTGCTGTAGCAAATGCCTCGTGCCCTCTGGGGCAGGCAGGGAATGTGCAGCCTTTAGACCCACCACTGAGTGGTCCCAGACTGCTGAACACTGGGTCCTCCTGGGTGCCTTTAATTGTCTTCCTGTGGACGGGACCATCCATCTGGTGAGCGTGCCTCCCTGCAGCGCCCTCACCTGACTTTGGCTTCCACTGCCCCATGGGCCAAGTCCAAGTCCCAAGGGTGAGGGGTTCTCCGGTGGATGAGGTGGAGGGCCTTGTGCTGCTGCTTTAGGGCGTCCATTTCCGCTGCTCAGCCCTTTGGCCTCTGGTTCTCACTTTTTTTTTTTAAATATTTTATTTTTTTCCTTTTTCTCCCCAAAGCCCCCTGATACATAGTTGTATATTCTTCGTTGTGGGTCCTTCTAGTTGTGGCATGTGGGACGCCACCTCAGCATGGCTTGATGAGCAGTGCCATGTCCGCGCCCAGGATTTGAACCAACAAAACACTGGGCCACCTGCAGGGGAGCACACGAACTTAACCACTCGACCACGGGGCCAGCCCCTGGCCTCTGGTTCTAATGTGAGTTCTAGAGAGTTGAGTCTGACCAGCAAATAGCTTCTCTCTGAATTTCTGGCACCAGCTAGATGTGTAACAGTTCAGTCTTATCCTGACACTGACTGCCCAGAGTTAGTGTCAGACAGCACAGGTCTCAGGGTTCAGTCCCACAAGACCACCGTCACTTCAGTCATCAGTCCCGGGTCCCCAGGCTACCCACACTTCTGTCTGACATGGCTACAAATTCAGGTGTTCCCACGACACACCCTTCAGGTTCAGTAATTTGCTAGAATGACTCACAGAACTCAGGAAAGTGCCATGCTTACTATTATAGTTTATTGTCAAGCGTACAAATGAACAGCCAGATGGAGAGATACACAGGGCAAGGTCTGGAAGGGTCCTGAGCGCAGGAGCAGCTGTCCTCCTGCACTGCCCTCCCAGTGCTTGGACATGTTTGCCACCTTGGAAACTCCCTGAACCCTGTCGTTTAGGAGTTTTTAAGGATGTTTCATTATGTGGGAATGATTGATTAAATCATTGGCCGTTGGTGACTGAACTCAATCTCCACCCCTCCGTCCTCCCCGAGGTCAGGCAGTGGGGTAGGTCTTTCTGGTGACCGGTCATTAGCATAAAAAAGACACTTCTATCACTCAGGAGATTGCAAAGGTTTTAGGAGCTCTAAACCAGGGACAGGAACCAGGGACAAAGACCAAATATTTGTTTTTTGTTATACCACATTTCTATAACAGGAATGTTACCATGTAACCCTGAAACACTTCCACTTTCAGGCAGCCTCAGCAGAGGGTACAAATAGCTTCGACGTTTGTACACTATGGGATTCCTATTAATGTATTATTCCCATAGAAAGATATCACTCTGACTCAATCAAAATATGGTCTACATTTTCACCATATATGCAGATATGAATGACTTCAGAAAAACATGTGGCTTTCTTGTCCAAAGTAATTTTACTCTACTTTCTAGTTAGGGAAGTAGATGAAGTCTAAGTTTATCCGCATGGTCGCTCGCCTGATTCCTCTCTCCGAAGTTCAGGATTATTTTGCCCTCTGATTCATGTTCTTGGACCCTTTATTTTCTTTCTTCCCTTGGATAAGGTTCTATTGAAAAACTACAGTGCCGCTTGTAAAAGGGAATAGTGGATGGCTGCCAAGAAAAAAATTCCAAGCAAACTCCTTTCAGTCCTTACTCTCCTGAAGAACCTCACCATGGCAGCTGCAAACTGTTGTGTCCTTGAAACTGTTCCTCACGGTCAGTTTGTGGTTGTCGCAGGGCCCCGTGAAGCACGTGTACAGAGTCCTGCAGTGCCAAGAGGAGGAGCTTACCCAGATGGTCTCCACTATGTCCGATGGTTGGAAATTCGAGCAGGTATGTTTCTTAGGTAGTAGCAACCGTGTAGCTCAGCCTAGGAGTCCACACTCTTCCAACAATCACTGTCTGTAGCCGGTTAATCACCCTGGGAGTTCAGGAGGGCCCGGTGTGATCCCATTCAGAAACACGGGAAAAGAGAGCCGCTGGGGTGGATTGTTTGTGCACCAAGTACGTGACGTACTTGGACTCAGTACATGATGAGTTGGGGAGAATTGAGAATAGTATGGTGTCTCCCAGCTTCATAGCCAAAGTTTCAGCTTGATGTGCCCCAAAGGAACCAGTCAGCTTGTTTAGGCTTGAAAATGCCTCTCTGGCTTTTTTCCCTCAGAAGGATTCCTTTCAAAAGTACTCACTGACATTCTAGAATAAGTACCTAAAGAAGACTAGAATTCAACAACAACCTTTCCTTTGCTTACCCAAGGGTCCGAACTGTATCGGTCTGAGTATCTTTAATCCACTGTCAAAAGCCAGGGGAACGGGTGTGATGTGAAAGGAATCAAACGCAATGAGAAGTGTGGCATGGGCATTTCCTGTCAGTCTATTGATTTCTGCTCTTTCAGCTTCGTGCTTATAATTGAGGCATCAGAACAAAGCGACTGAGAGTCAGAGTTCTGCCATTAGATGGCAGAGTTGTTCATCTGTTGTCTTCAAAACACACGGAGGCTGAGTGTGAATGGAATGGATCGTTTAAACGGATTGTGCCTGTGTTTATGTAGAGTTTAAGAGGCCAGTTGAACTGTCACCATAAGCTTACTTTCTAAAATAAAAGTTACTCTCTGTGTTAACAGTATTATGTTATAGATCAGATACACAGGTGTCTGTCTTCACTGGATTTCTCCTCACACTTACCTTCCACTGCAGAAGCGAGTCTGCCTGTGTGTGCCAACCTAGTTCTTGTTCAGGTGTGGGGCTGTACTTCCACTGCAGAAGTGTTTCCCCTGATAGAAAGTCTTAAGCAAAGGATATTTTGAAAACTTTTTAAAAGTGTTCTTTGTGAAACTAATGAATGATTTTTTATCTTATTTTTCTCATCGTGTTAATGTCCTGTGGGAGGAGAGTATTCTCCCATCCACTCTGTCATATGGACGAGGAAGTTTAGGCGCAGGAAGGCTGAGGTGTCTGTAACCCTCGTACAGCCAGCCGAGCTGAGGCCCCGCGCCCTGGCCAGGACAGCCTCACCCTCGGGCTCAGCTTCTCCCTGTGCATGTGGACTTCCTATTTAGAACTAAATCCTAAATTCAATTCCCCAAAAAGCTTAAAAGTACCAGCAGCGCGTGGCTTACAGTAGCTATTTAGTGATTTGCTTGATGCTTTCCAGAGCCTGTCGAGTGCCTGCCTCCTGTCTGGGACTTCTGCTTAAAGATGAGCCAGCTCTGTGTCGTTGTTTCGGCTGAGGCAGGCATCCATTTTCATTCACAGAAACATTCTGTTTCACCCCAGCGTTTGCTAGAGGGAACGGCACCATGTTAATCTTAGTTGCTGCCTTTAGGGTTGTTTCAGTGCTTGGGTGAGGGGGACAGTGGCAGAACTCAGACTGTTCTTCTTTGGGGAAGCCTTGTTGATGATGCCCTGATGAATAACTGAGAGCCAGCTCTCCCCTGGGGCCTGGATAGTCCCCGGGAATTCTTCATCCTTTGAGAAGCGGGACTAGGAAGTTCAGTCAGGAGGAGGGTTTGATCCGTGTGGCACTTCAGTATTTTAAGATCACCGTGTGTTCCCCACGTTCTTGTCTTACCAGCTGATCAGCATTGGCTCTTCCTATAACTATGGCAATGAGGATCAGGCAGAGTTCCTCTGTGTCGTCTCCAGAGAACTAAATAATTCTACCAATGGCATAGTCATAGAGCCGAGTGAAAAGGCGAAGGTAAGAAGTCGCTTCCCCAGCTTTGTCTGTGGCTCTGGGCTTTGCCTGACCTGGCGTTCATCGCTTCTTCCCTTTCCTTCTCAGCCAGCTTTCATTTCCCCTTCATATTGGGCTTTTGACTGTTGTAATTGAAATCAGGATTTATGGAGCAGTGACAGGGGCCTTTAGTTAGGAAACGCAGACTGAAACAGGGCAGAGTTTTCCCAGACTCTGTCAAATCAATGAAAAAGAAAGCTTATTGCCACTAAATACCACAAGGTGAAAATTCTGAAACTTAAAATTGGAAAGTATTTTGCCTTTATCTTTGAAACTGTTTTATTTTTTTGCTGCCTCAAGAGACGAGGTATTTGGTTACTTTTCTGACTTCCCCCCAAGTTACTGGAAAATCGGACACTGTTGTCTTCTCTTCCTCCACTCTGCCCTCACACACACACACACGTGCACACAGACACTTTAAATCACCAACACGTGGCGAACCTGACCCATGTCCTTGGGCCGGTAGCACGCGAGAAGCGGTCCAGCAGCATGTAAACTTGAGGCCCAGCCATGGGCTGCGCATCTTTTACGGCAACTTCAGGGGAGGCTGCCCCACCTCCTGGGATGGCGAAGATTGTGTGCTGCTCCCGGGGCTCCAGTGGAAAGCAGCTGGCGGTCTCTTCCCTCAGCAGTCTGCTTAGCAGCCTCAGCCTAAAAGCAGTCTGCATCCAGTCTGAGCCTCAGCCCTCTCCCCCATCTTCCACTTCCAGATTCTTCAGGAGAGAGGATCTCGGATGTGAATTCCAGAATCCTGAACATCCAGAAAGCAACAGCAGAGCACCTCCGTGAAGTCCAATCTTGCTCCTCTCCTGTACAGTAACCAAGCTCCTGCGAAGCGAAGCTGAGCCTGGCCTCCCAGTGGAGAAGTATTCCGGTCAAAACCAAAGGAACCCCACCCCCAGCCCCACTCCCAGGAACCCGAAGACAGATACACCTTCTGGCTGCAGAATACCTTTTCAAAAACCTTTTGTTTTCTTAGCCAGTGTTATGAGAAATCTTTATAGCAGCAGCTGGGCTGGGTTCCCAGTTGGAGCCCTTAGGGGATCTGGGGGATGGGAAGCGGAACACCTGGCTCCTTGCACATGCCTACTTCAGGGAAGCTGGAGCAAATGGAAGAGGGCTGTCCCTGAGCTGTGCCATGTTTTCACCTGAGTGTGCCATGTTGGACGCTGGCAGCTGTTTGTACACTATCTTTCCCCTCCTATACACCCAGAGTAATGGAGCAGATGCAGAGGATTCTAGCTTCAGTTTATCAAGTTGAATTGAGGTGTTGGATAAAGGGTAGAGTTGCCAGAGTACCCAACATTCCTGTGACCAAAGCCTCTTTGAGGAAGGGGAGGATGGGGTGTCGTTGGTTGTGGGTGGAGGTTGGGGATGGTTGCTCTGGATTACGGCACTTGGCTGCCACCATGTTCAGCTTTGTGTCATTTGTCTCCAGCAGCCTGGACCCTCCACATAGCTTGCTTTGTTCCCAAGAAGAGGGTGGAGGCAGGCGGCATCCTGCACTGAATCAGACAGACAGATGGGAGCTTTAGGTATTTGGTGTACCTGCTTCTGCAGCCTTTTCCTGCCCTCCGTTGGCTCATCTTCCTTCCCTGACTTTTTAAACTGGTCCAAGGATAAAGGGACTTTGGGCCCTCTGATGGCTTGGGGTGGGGACAGCTGTTTCTTTGTAAGTTGCCAAATGTGTTATGTTGTAGTATCCAGAAGTGTTGTTATTTCTGTGATTGTCTCTTGGAAATGCCTTGACTGAACGTGTGATATTTGTATTTCTTCTTGGTATCTAACCTTGGCCAACCTACCCTGCAGCCTCGTCTGTGACCCCACACAATCCCCAGTAGTGTGTATACGTTTGCCGGGCAGTCTGAGGACTCCCTGCATCTCTGACCCCACCCCTCACCATCACTTCTTTCTATGGAGTGCCATGTCATCAGGGATCAAATGCTCGTTTGATGGTGGGGAGCAGAGCCCTCCTTTGGGCTGTGACCACAGAGCTTATATCTGGATTTTTCTGAGATCTTGAGTCTTGTGAGCAGTTGCTAAATGCAGAGGGGCCGGAGAATCCTTATTTTTCCCCAGATGACTTTCAGAGTGTGGCACACGGTCCAGAGAAGGGGAAGGTGCCTCTGAGGAATGCTCCATCTATAAAAGTCACCTCAAGCTGTTCGCTCCTGGATCCCTTCACGGTTGAGGTTCTCTGCTCCGCAGCTTAACTCTTTACTGGGTGGGTCTGGGGTCGTAATTTTTGGAAATGACTATTGACTGTGCCAAATGTCTTTTGAGCTTGTAACCTGCCCATGCCCAGATGGCACGACTCTTCTCCAGGATTCTCACTTTGACCTTATTTCTCTGTGTATAGAGTAGGATAGAAATGTGTGCAACGGTGTCTGCTGATACACGTGTGTCTGCACACCAACGTGAGCTTGCGTGTTGGCACCTCTGAAGTCTGGCCCATGCCCAAGATTTTTACAGCTGTAAAATATTAGAGACACTTCTACCTACAGTCAAAGTAGTCACCTTTTCAAAAAGGTTGCAGGCATCCATCCTATCACCTTTCAGGAAAAAAAAAAGATCTGAGTGCATCAAGCTGCTCTGACCAGAGTAGGAGAGAAGACTTTGGAAGAGGTGCTCTTTGGCCAATTCGAGGAAGTGACATCAGACTGAAAGGAGGAAAAGCAGCTTCATTTGGGGCCTTGTGCCTGATCAGATTTGCTTTCCTGGGGCTCGATGCCTGATAATCAGCCTCTGGTCCCGAGCCGGCAAGAAGGCGTGAGAAGGGCTAGAGGGCAGACGTGGGCAAGCCCCGCAGGAACGTGTTGTTACTTTCGTTTCTCTTTTTGGAATTCCGCAGTGGGCCCTGTAAGAAGACTCCTGAGCCCCTTGCTAAGTGTTCTTGGAAGCAGACATAGTGATATTTCTGCTCTCCTAGAGGGCTGGCTATCACCAAGTTTCCCTGCTCACGGCCCCCAAGTGATAATTTAAATTTTTCCAATGCTCCAGAAATCTGAGGATGATTCATTTCTTAAGGTTTCTGGAAAAGTATTTTACGCAAGCCCCTTATGAACCAGGTTGGTGTTTTTCTTGAAAGCCATGTGCCCCTGGGAGAGTCTGGCTGATAACCTCAGAGAGAGATCTGGCATTGGTTTGGGGGTGTCACATGACCAGTGCCCCACACCCTCCAGCTGCCCAGTGCTGCCAAGCAGGGAGTGTCTTCCTGCTTCTCTGCCCAGGTCTGGGGCCGCGGGTGATGCAGGCCAGGCCCAGGAGCAGCCTTGCCTCTCCTGAGTGATATCAGACAAATTAGCTCACTTATTCTTTTCCTCAGAACTTGCTTTTTCCTTGGCAGTGAGGTGGGGTCCAACCTCTAGAGTGACTTTGTTTCCACACAGTTAACTGATGTCAGGGGTGTCAGCAAGATGTGGGAGAAGAAGGAACAGAGATGCTGAGGGAGTAGGGCTGAGAGGACACCCACACCCTCCAGCATGGCCTTTGATCCAGACATTAGGGACCATGCCTGTCACTTGTGGGTGCCCCTTGTTACCGTTTGTGTGTTTGAATAAAGTCTGAAATGCTGTGACCTTTTTTTTTGTCAATAAAGACATGAAACAAACTTGTGAATCTTGTAGCTTTTGGTGTATGTTTTCCAGTTCGGCAAGCTCGTTGGTTTCCACTGTCGCTTTGGTGATCATCGCACTGTCCTCAGGAGATGAATTTCACTGCACCTTTTCAGCAGAGCTGCCTACAAAGTCCTCATTTCTCCTGCTGCTAAAACTGCCTGAGGGCGTATCAGGCCTTCTTCCTCCTGCTCTCATTTTACCGAATCTGAGAGGCCCTGGAGAGTGCTGGAAACAGAAGGTGGGACAGATGGGCTACCCACCAGAGAGCGGGGAAGAGTCAAGGGGAGGAGTGTGAGATGGCTTTTAAGGGAAAAAAGTTCCTGGAAGAAAGTGACTAGGTGCCGGTTTTCTCAGCAAGGAAGAGGTTGAGTAGGAAATGTGAGGTGAGAACAAAGTAACCAACGAGTTAAGAGTTGATCATTTCAGGCCTCAGGCAGGGTGTGGGATCCTCAAAAGGCGTTAGGTGGTCCCCTCCCGTAGGGTGCTTACAGTGGAGAGACAGCGGCGTCTACACACAAAGTTAGTGAACAAGGTATGTGATTGTATCAGCCAGGGTCCAACAGACACGGAGACCATAGCAGCTGTCAACAATGGTGGGGAAAGGAAAGAGCTGGGGGGACGGAGGTGTCACAGATGCAGTGATTGCAGGATGCAGTTATAGCTCCCAGGACAGGAGCAATGAGAAGAGGTTGGGATTATTAAAATGTAGCAGCTCGGAGGAGGGCCCCTGTGGAGAAGGAGGGAGGGGCCCAGTGAGACTGGCTCTAGGAGTGGTAAAACTGCAAGTGAACCGACACTACTGGAACCAGCTATTGCTGCCAGAGTGAAGCTGCGTTGCTGTGGTTTCTGTGATAACAGGAAGGAGCACGTCCCTCCTTTTCTTCCCCTAGCTTTGCAGTCTCCCTCTCACGTTCTCTACAGGCAAGCCTATCAGGGAGCGAGCTGGTAAAGGAGAAATGGGCTTGGCAGCTTTCCAGCCCCAAGAGCACAGGGCAGCATCTGGAGGATGGGTCAGGGCTGAGAGAGAACAGTAACCAGCTCTGCCCACCTCTGGCTGGTCAGCATCCACATACGTGCTGCTCTGCATATTGGAACTTCCATACAATGGTAAAAGCAACTTTATGTCTCCACGTATCAAGATGCAACCACTCTTACACAAACAGAGACGATCTTGCTCTCTCTTCAACATAAGACAGTGCCAACAGTCATTATTCCGGGGCCTGAGAGACAGTTACATCTATTTCTGGGCTATGTTAATTACTCTTCAAACTGGGTTGATGGGTTAGACAGCAGCCATGGTCACTTGACGTCCCATGGTTAGGTGGCAGGAGCTGTTTCTCAAAAGGAGAAGAGTTATCTGCAAAAGAAGTCATGGCTCTCCCAAAACCCTGGAGTTCTGCATGGTGATTCTCCAGTCGGGGCTTGCCAGAGGCTCCATACAGCATTAATATTTGCAACAGATCATTTGAGTATTGCTGAATCTATTCAGTCATAAAGCCCAGGTGGCAGCCCAGAGCTAAATTTTTAATCATACCACACAGAAAGATTTTCCTCAGTAAAGCTTGTCCCTGGAGTGAACTGTTACTCCGTATTAAGCCAGTTTTCTGTGCAGTGCAATTAAATTGTTTCTAAATTTTCTATGTAGTGCAATTAAATTGTTTCTAAGTTTTCTATTTTCATTTTTCCTTAGAAACATTTTCATTAAGATCATTGTTTTCCATGAGATTTTATGGTGGAAATTTAATTCAATTTAACCAGTTCCAGCTTTTGCCCTTGTGGGCTTTCTTTTGTGGCTATTATCTCATCTATTTTTATTTTCCCCAAGTCAAATTTGGCAGCTGAAAATCCAAGTCTCATATATCTAAATTTGTGCATTTTTAACTGAAGTCAGTTTTCTGTTAATTATTTCTAAGAAAACACATACAAAATGGGTAGAAGATTTATAGTTTGTTTTTGTTAGCTTTTCTATAAGGAAAGTCTGAGCAAGTTCCCTCAGATATTCTTGGATTGCTTTATGTCCAAAATTGGGCTATTGCTTCCACTCATATTTCATTCTGATAACTTTTGATAACAGTTTGATATCATTTTGATAACAGTTGGCAAATCAAAGAGCAAAACATCCTCAAAATATGCCCTGCTTTGCTCAGTTGTGATGGATAGCCAATAAGTACATATTTGAAAAAGAAGGATTTGGAAGGCTCGACAGACTTCTTGAACTAGACCCTGAAGTTGGAGAAGGGTGTGGTTGACTGGTGCAGGAAGGATGGTTAGCCTATCACCAACAGCTATTGTTGCTCAGGTCTGTCACCTCCGTCACAGGGCTAGAGCAAACGTCTGTTTATTTGCTGCCATGTGCTACACAGCCACCACATGCCGGGATCTGTGCTTAGCACTGACAGCCAAAGCTGAGTCGCAGAGGCCTGCAGGACACCAAATGGGAGAGGAGAAGGCTGGAGGTAGGGAGAGGACAGCCAAGGAGCTGCTCTAATGACCAGGGGACATTCATCAGAACCTGGGCAGACACAGAAGGGTGGAAATGCCAAGCTAGAATCAAGCCCCATTGGCATACTTGGAAGGCAGCCATGTATTCAAGAATCACTACAAATTCTAAGCAAGATAAATAAAACACACACATATATATAGTATAATAAAACTGAGGAAAATGCAATATGGAGAAAATCATAAAAGCTGTCGGAAGAGGGGGAAAAAAGGAGCAGCAATAAGACTGACGGCCAACTTCTCAAGTGAAAAATATAAACCAGAAGACAGTGAAATCGAATCTCTAAAGTGCTGAAGGAAAATAGCTGCCAACCTAGAATTCAACACCCATGAAAGTATCCTTTAGAACGAAGAGGATATAAAGGCATCTTTGACAACCAGAACCTCAGAGTATTCATCACCTACACGCCTATACTAAAGGAGATACTGAAGGTGTTCCTCAGGGAGACAGGAAAGGATCCCAGATGGAAGCTAGAGGCTTGGAAGGAATGGAGAGCAATTAAAAATGTAAATACATGGATTGATCCAAATAAATATTGGCATTTAAGCATTAATAGTGCCTTAAGTTTTAAAAATACATAAAGACAATTAAAATACACAACAATAATGAAAGTTGGGATGAGGTAAATGAATTAAAGTATTCTAAGGCTTTGGCTTCTCTAAGAGATAAAAATAAAGCTTTATATTAGACTTTGATAAACCATGAATGCATGTTATAATTTCTCAGGTAACTACCCAAAAAATAATAATAATAAAAGTGTAACTACCAAGATAATAGAGAGGAAGAAAGAAATTTAATAATGAAAAATCAGGGGCTGGCCCCGTGGCCGAGTGGTTAAGTTCGCATGCTCCACTGCAGGCGGCCCAGTGTTTTGTTGGTTCGAATCCTGGGTGTGGACATGGCACTGCTGATCAAGCCACACTGAGGCAGCGTCCCACATGCCACAACTAGAAGGACTCACAACGAAGAATATGCAACTATGTACTGGGGGACTTTGGGGAGAAAAAGGAAAAAAATAAAAATAAATAAAACAAAAAGAAAAATCAATAATGGTGAACTACAATTCACCAGGAAAACATAATCATAAATTTGTGTGCATCTAATGATCTAGCCTCAAAAACGATAGAACTAAAAGGAGAAATAGGCAAATCCATAATAATACTAGGAATTTTGTCACATCTTTCAGTAACTGTTACAGTAGACCAAAAAACCAAGAGGGATACAGATGCTTTTAACAAATGATTTCCAAATTTCGTTACTGAAATATGTAGAACATACATTGAACAACTACATTCACATTCTGAATTTTTAGGTGCATGTGGAACAGTTACCTACATTGACCATGTTCTGAGCCATAAAGCAAGTCTCAAAAAACTTCAGGGCTGGCCCAGTGGTGCAGTGGTTAATCATGCACAATCTCCTTCGGCGGCCTGGGGTTCACCAGTTTGGATCCCGAGTGTGGACATGGCACCGCTTGGCACACCATGCTGTGGTAGGCGTCCCATATAGAAAGTGGAGGAAGATGGGCATGGATATTAGCTCAGGGCCAGTCTTCCTCAGCGAAAAGAGGAGGATTGGCAGCAGTTAGCTCAGGGCTAATGTTCCTCAAAATAAAAAAAAATTGGAAAGATTAATTCAGAGCATATTACCTGATTATAGTGGATCAAGTTAGAAATCAATAATAAAAAATATTAGAAAATACCTGTATTTTTGAAAAGTAAGCAACATGCTTTTAATCATTCATGGGTCAAAGAAGAAATCACAATAGGAAAATGTATGTATGTATGTATGTATGTATGTATGTGTGTATTTATTAACATGTAAGAAAGGGGGCCAGACCCGTGGCCGAGTGGTTGGGTTCATGCACTCCACTTCAGTGGCCCAGGGTTTCACTGGCTCAGATCCTGGGCGCAGACCTAGCACTGCTCATCAAGCCATGCTGAGGGGGCATCCCACACAGCACAACTAGAAGGACCTACAGCTAGAATACACAACTATGTACTGGGGGGCTTTAGGGAGAAGAAAGAAAAAAAAGAAGATTGGCAATAGATGTTAGCTCAGGTGCCAATCTTTAAAAAAAAAAAAAAAAACAGGTAAGAAAGGCTAAAAATCATTATGTCCATCTCAGGAACTTACAACAGCAAATTCAACCCAAAGAAAGTAAAAGGAAGGAAATAATATAGAGCAGAGCAGAAATCAATTACATAGAAAACAAACATACAACAGAACCATCAAACCAAAAGCTGATTCTTTAAAAAGATGGACAAAATGGATAAACTCCTAATGGGACTCATCGCAGAAAAAGACAATACAAATGACATCTGGAATGTTAAAAGGAGACACAACTACAGAGCCTACAGTCTCTCTAAGGATTGTAAGTGATTCTCTTAGGTATATACCCAAAAGAAAGCAGGGACTCAAATAGATACTTGTACACCTATTTCATAGCAGCATTATTCACACTAGCCAAAAGGTAGAAGAAACCCAAGTGTCCATCAGCAGATAAAAGGATAAAAAAAATGTGGTATATAGTGGAATATGATCCAGCCACAAACACGAATGAAATTTGGATACATGCCATAACATGGATAAACCTTGAAAACATTATCTAAGTGAAATAAGCCAGACTCAAAAGGACAAATGTATAATTTCAGTCTTATGAAATATCTAAAATAGGCAAATTCATAGTGACAGAAAATAGATTAGAGGTTACCAGGGGCTCAAGGGAGAGGCAAATGAGGAATTATTGCTTAATGGTTATAAAGTTTCTGTTAGGGGTGATGAAACAGTTTTGGATATGGATAGTGGTGATGGTTGCATCCCTTTTTTTCTTCTGAGAATCAGAACCAGAGTGGAAGCAACAATATTTAGGATCACCAATGAGATAATGTTGGGATCACTCAACTTTAGGCCAAGAAGGGGCCTTAAAACATCATCTCCTACAACAACTCTGTTGATGCTCAGAGAAGAGCTGTGGTCCAGAGAGATTAAACAAGTTGCCCAAGAATCTACTGTCATTTAGTTGCCATTTTCCTTCTGTGGTTGGTATGGTGAGTCCCTGACGTCCACTGCAAGTGGCCCCAGGTGCAGCCGCAACTCTCCCGCCTGGGATGAAGGCTCTGGAGTAAAGAATTGCTGGTGGAAGGGCAGACTGCATCAGCACCGTGGCATGTCCAGGGGCACAACTTTTACCCTGCTGACATCACAGGCAGAACACTGGGGCTGATCACGCTTGAATTGTGACATCAGGGAGCAAAATTGTGGGTGGTCTTCAAGGAGGGGGTCCAATTTGATAGGGAGACGGCAAAACAGCAGCCAAAGGGAAAGGTGAGAAGGCGGTCATCAGAGACAAGAGACGTAAGACCAAGAGACATAAGGGGCTGGGGTGGGGGCATGCTGGACTGATGGGGATCCTCCCAGCTGCTGGTGAATTGGGACCAGGGGCAAGGGCCCTGTGCCTGAGTACCCAAAGTTTCTTCTCCTTCCCACCACAGGGCAGCCAAGCCTCTGGCTCTCCTTGACATGCAGAGAGTTTTACGTAAGTACTGTGCTTCCTACCTTTTCTTCCGAAGGGTCAAGGAAGTGGCTCCTTTCCTTTGTCACTATGTAACTTTCTGCTCATCCACCCTCTTGTCCAGGATTTGTTCCAGCAACTAGGGCTGGGACAAGGAGAGCACAATCCGCAATTTATGCCCCCAATGTGGGACGACCAATGATAAAATCCCTGTACCCCATGGGCAGACAGCTGCTTCTAAGAGAAGGACTAGTGTGCCCCTCCAAGGCCCCTCAGTTCCTGCCTTGGCTTCAGCATGGCTTTGCTCTGTCTTCCCAGGGCCAGTCCAGGACCACATCCCAGCCCTGCAGCCCCCTGCCCAGCCCTCAAGACCTCCCCAAGGACAGCTCCTGATGAGTAACAATAGCGATCTCCGCACATTTGAGGACCAAGTCCTCTGTCCCATTTGCCTGGAGGTGTTCCGCAACCCAGTCACCACCGCCTGCGGGCACAACTTCTGCATGAGCTGCCTGCAAGGTTTCTGGGACCACCAGGCTACCATGGACGAGATGCCCTATTGCCCCCAGTGCCGAGAGACCTTCCCTTCCAGGCCACGCCTCTGCAAGAACGGCATCCTGGAAGAGATGGTGAACCGCTTCACCCAGGCCAAGGGCCAGGCTCTGGGGTCCGCACAGAACCTGGCTGGGCCCACGGATGTGCCCTGCGACTTCTGTTCCCCCCAGAAACTCAAGTCAGTCAAGTCATGCCTGCAGTGCATGGCCTCCCTGTGCGAGAAGCACCTGCGCAGCCACTTTGAGGACCAGGTGTTCCAGGACCACCAGCTGCTGGAGCCCGTGTGGGACCTCAAGAGCCGCTTGTGCCGGAAGCACCGCAAGCTGCAGCGGCTGTACTGCCGCACAGAGGGCTGCTGCGTGTGCGGGGCCTGCCTGCTGGAGGAGCACAAGAACCACGACACCATCCCCCTGGAGGAGGAGCGAGCCCGCAAGGAGGTGGGGGTGGGAGGATAGGAGCCAGGGGACCCATGGTTCTGAGTTTCAAGCCCTGGCCACACCTTTCCTTAGAGGAAAATTGTGCAGCCATTAAAATGATGATCATGAGGGGCCAGCTGGGTGGCATAGCGGTTAAGTTCTCGCACTCAGCTTCACTGCCTGGGGTTCACTGGTTTGGATCCAGGGCGTGGACCTACACACTGCTTATGATGCCATGCTGTGGCAGGCATCCTGCACACAAAAAAGTAGAGGAAGATGGGCACAGATGTTAGCTCAGGGCCAATCTTCCTCAGCAAAAAGAGGAGGATTGGCGGCAGATGTTAGCTCAGAGCTAATCTTCCTCAAAAAAAAAAAAGCAAAGGTCGTGCCATGACATGAAAAAGTGCTGGCCAGTTAAATGAATAAGGATCCTAAATTGTAGGTATGAATCCTATGTTAAATTTTTTGAACAGAAAAAGAAAAGGCGGAAATATAACATATCAAAATACAAACAAGTCATGTTAGGAGTGGGCGAATCCCTTCCTTTTTTTCTATTTCTCAATTTTGTTTAATATATTTCTATCGCTTTTTATAGTGGAATACTTACGTTTTAGACATTCTATCATATATTCCATAACAGTGCTATTCCAGCTTTGCTCCCGTCAGTGGTCCATGGCCAAACAAGGAGCTTGTGCCAGAGTGTAAACCAACGCACCACACTGTTTGGTTCAGCTGACCACGTTTTCATAGCAAGACTTTCTCAACAAAAGAAGCCGTGTGTTGATTTACAGTCTGGCAGGAGCTGCTTCTTTTGCTGTGGGTCAGCAACAGTTCATGGACAGGCACTAGGAATAGCACAGTTCTAGAATACATTACAGAACATGAAAACGCCCGTTGCTGGAATAGGTGGGGACTCAAGGCTTATGTAGGACTTGGGGACACAGTGCTGCTTGGGCCCGGCAGCGCTGCCCCAGGGAGCCCAGGGCTCCATATCTGATACGCCCCTCCTCCACCCACTGCCTCCCAGGCCTCTCCAGCCACCGAGCCTTCCACAGCCCCTTCTCATGACCTGAAACCCAAAGGTCATCACTGTGGGGAGCAGAGAACCTGACTCTAAGAATGGGAGGGAGACTCTCAGGGTGTAAGAGAGTAAGAGCAGGGGGGTGAGACTGGGCCGTCTACCCACCAGCTCTGGTCATTCTCATTCTCGTTCTCGCCTCTCGAGGAATGTAAGAAGGACGTCTCTTCTGGGCTTTGACAAGGGGCTGCTTGCAGAAGGACTTCTCCTAGGTTACCTCTCTGAATCAAGGGCCCTCTCCTCCACTCCACCCTCTTACCCCAGGTCGAGGTTCGGAAGGTCCAGGCCAACGTGGAGAACCAGATGTTGATCATCACTTCTGACAGCCAGAAGCACCGCGGGCAGGTGGCCTTTCTCTCGGTAAGGTTGGCCCACGCCAGGTCCAGGCTTCCCCAGTGCCCTGCATTGGGCTGAGGGGAACTCTCAGGGCTTGGAGCAGATGGTGTGGGGCCAGGCATGGGTCCAGGCCATGACGATGGGGTCACCAGGGTGGGGCTCAGAGATGCCTCTCTATGCTCCCTCTCACCTCCCAAGAAAATGATCCAGACAACACGAGATGAGGTGAACGCCTGCTTCTCAGAGATCATCCAGGAGGTCACACAGCTGCAGATGAAGGTCTTGGATTTCGTGGAGAAAGAGGAGGCAGCTGCCCTGGGGAAGCTGGGCAGCTCCATCCGGCAGAGCCACAACCGGCTCCTGAAGCTGGAAAGGGACAGCATCTGGCTCCGCACCCTGCTCACCAACCAGAGCGACCAGCAATTTCTGCAGGTAAGGCCCCACCCACCCCACCCGCACCTCTGCCCCAGGCCCTGTCACGACCTCCACTCCCCCTCCACCCACAGATACACTGGATCTGCCCAGACCTTGGATAAAGGGATCAGCGCTTGGGGCTGCATCACTTTGTCCATTCCTCTGCCTCAGGGAGCCTCCATAGCCATCCTGAGCTTACACCAACACCCCTGGCCTCTTCCTCCACCTCAGCACTCGGCCTCTCCCTAACTTTCCTGCCTTCCGTTCCCTGGAACAGATGGGGATGCACCCTGGGATTCTGGGCATCTGACACAGTCTAAGTTGCTCCAGACTCCCCCAGGCCAGGGCTGGAAGGGAGTGCGGAACAGTCTAGACAGCCTGGATTGAAATCCCTTTTCCTTCCCCAGGCCTGGCCTGGCCCCACAGCCTGATCTGGTGCTGCTGCAAGAGGGTGCCAGGCAGGGTAGCTAGTGGGGGGGTGGGGGAGGGGGTAGCAGCAGCCTTCTTTATGGGTGGCGCCTGGAGCTGCCCAAACCCTGCGCTTGGGGACCCTTAGCCAAGATCCCCTTTCTACAGTAGCCATCACACCCCTGAGCAGATTTCTAGGGCTGTTGCTCACCTTGTCCCATGCACAATAGGAAGCATTTGGCAAGGTTTTCCACTAAGCATTTGAAGACTCAAAAGAAACTCTCTTCCCATTGTTTTCCAAAAGTCCACTTTGCTTAATGCACTAGGCCACAGTGGCCCTACCTTTGACAACACCCTAACCTAAGATGTCTAAACAACCAGGAGGAGGGGAGAGAGATGTCCAGGTTTGAAAGTGGGCAGCTTCTCCTCCTGCTCCATGGTCTGGGGACCACCAAGCCCTGGCCACAAGCAGGAGTTCCTGGCATCTGCCTCGGCCCTGGCTAACAGGTGGTACCACCGGCCACTCCCTGCACGCAGGAGTTCCCCAGGCTGAAGCACCTCCCAGCCTGCATGGAACCCCTGATGGGCACCAACTGTGAGGAGAAGCAGAGCTTCCTCCAGCTGCCAGAGACCCTGGCGGAGCTCCGGACCCGGCTGCTGGACATGGGTCTCAGCTTCACCAATCAGCTCCTCCTGAAGGGTCAGTACCTGGTGGCCTGGGGACCCTGGAGACTCACCTGCATTCTGGGGGTTGGACAGCCCTACTGGGCAGTGGTTGGAGTTCTGGGCACTTGTAGAGAGAGTCCTGCCTGCCCATGTGCACCTTTCCCAGGTGAAGAGCCTCGTGGAAGCCCATGCCATCTGGAAGGATGCTGGGCTGTGAGAGTGTCCTCAGCAAAGCTCCCCCATCTCCCCAGGCATTAAGATGAGCTCCTATGAAGTGCTGCCCCCAGCCGTGGACAGGAAAACACTTCTCAAGTGTGAGTCCTCAGTACTGGGGTCGGGCCCCAGGGGTGGGAGGGAAAGGAACAGGGCCCTGGATGCCTTGACTTCCCCGGCCCCACCTGCATTCAGGCCAGGGCTTCAGAGAGGTGCCAGCTCTCTCCTGCCCTGACCTCCCACTCTGGATTGGAGACCTCAGAAGGACTCGGCCTGCAACTCCAAGGCCCTGATAGGAAGGGGAAAGACTGTCCTGTCCCACTCCGTTGGGTGGGGCAAGGCCTCACCTACTGCCACAGGCGGGCTCTGCAGCCCTGCCTAGCCCTGGTGTGGCACAGCCTCTGCCCTCAGCTGGGTGCCTGCCAGCCTCCCCTGGGCTTCAGCCAGCTTGGCTGATCCTGTCCATTTCTTCCTCAGGCAATCTCCCTTTTATATGATGTTCCCACAGCCCCTCTCCCAGGCTGGGCTGGGGGCCAAATCCCAATGACTTCTCTGAGATCTTGGGAGTCAAGGTTGTGTTGCCTTTGGTGAACCCCTCTGGGTGACTTTCTCTGGGAGCCCTTGATTCTCCTTCAGTCCCAACTCAATCTTGCCTCCTGAATAAATAAAAAGGGAGATTATGTGAGGGTCAGATGTGGGCAGAGAGGCAGGCTCCTGGTTCTCAACTTCTCTAGAAAAGTGGACCTGTGGACAGCACCCAACTCACTCCACTTCTCCAGACTGTCAGCCGCACCTGGGGGCCCGAGTTGGAGACTAAAAGGAGTGGGGATAAACGGCCACTCCTAGGAGCTGGGGGTGGAAGCACTTTGTGACTTCTATGCAAACGCCAGGCAACCTAGCACCTCCTTCCTCTGCCCTGGGGGCCCCTGACCCTGGCTCCCTTTCCGTCCCCTCCCCACTCAGGTTACTGCAACCTGAACTTCGACCCCGCCACCGCCAGCGAGGAGCTGTTCCTCTTCAAGGAGACGCACTCGGTGCTGAACCTGGGCATCCTCCTGGAGCCCTTAGCCGCCGGCGGTCCCCTCCCGGGCTTCAAGCAGTGGCCTCAGGTGCTGTGCTCGCGCGGCCTGTTCGAGGGCCGCCACTACTGGGAGGCGGAGGTGTCCAACTCGTGGGTGTGCCTGGGCGTCACCTACCGCCGCAGCCCCCAGCTCAGCGGCCGCCCGCGCCGCAACATCGTCTACCTGCTGGGCCGCAACCCCTACTCGTGGTGCCTGGAATGGGACTCGCTCAAGTTCTCGGTGTGGCACAATAACACGCAGACGGTGCTGCACGGCGGCTACCACCGCGCGCTCGGCGTGGCGCTCGACTGCCGCGCCGGCTGCCTGTCCTTCTACGGCGTGGCGGGCGGCGTGAGCCTGCTCTACCGCTTCCTCGCCTCCTTCCTGGAGCCGCTCTACCCCGCGGTCATGGTCAGCAGCGGCGCCGCCGTCACGCTCAAGCAGCGCCCGGAGGCCTAGGCGGCGGCCAATAAAGCTGGACTGCAGAGCTGGCTGCGCCGCCGGGCCCGGGGCGTGTGTCCGCGGCCGGCCCCGGGCGAGGCGGGAGGGCGGCGCCCGCCGCGGGCCCGGGAATCCCGGGAAGCGGGCAGACCCCTCCGGCCCCACAGCCGCAGGAGAAGGGCTCTGAACCAGGCTCCGGGTCCCCCGGGCCCGGGGACAGTCCTGAGGCCGCCGGAGGGGGAAAGTCCTGCCCGGGTGCACCGCCTGCCCTCCACTCCGATCCCCCAAATCCAACCAGGGACCCCTGGTCTTGCTTCTCCAGACTGGTCCTGGCCACTCAGCGCCAGGCACTCTTCCCCAAAGCCCTTCTAGCCTGAGAGTGGGCGGGGCTTGGACCAGGTGTCTTCTCTCTCTGGATTCCCCGCCCCCCGCCCCCCCACGCACAGGTGGCCAGACTGAGAGCTGGCACCTGACAGACTAGGGTTGAGGTGTTCTGTCTGAGTTCCTGGCTTAACGGAGAGCTGGGCAGTTAAGCTGGAGGAACCCAGGCTGACCTCAGACCCAAAAAAGAAAGGCAGAGAGCCCAGATCCAGGCCGGGGCTGGGGCTGCTGACCCAATGCTCAGAGCAGAGGGGCTCACACCCGGGAGGGGGTGTGGAACTGAGGCTCTCCTGCCTGGGGGCTATCCGTACACCACTCCATCTTCCTCAGTGTTCCTGAAAGCCGCCTTCCCCGCCCCCAGCCATAGGCCCACCAGACTCAGCTCCCAGAGGGTACACTGCCGGAAAGGGAAGGAGTTTGATCGACACGCAGGCCTCTGCCATACCACCTGCCCAGCAGGATGTGTGGAAGTCTGCCCAAGAGGCCGAACCCCTGCCCGGCGGGCCACTGCCCTGTGACCCTGGCAGGCACATGACTGGGGACTCAGCTCCTTCTGAGGAAGCCACCTGGGCATTTCCAGCCTCAACCAGCCACTTGTCCCTGTGGTTTCTCATGCGTGGGCTCTTGGTAAGGTTAATAATTGGCTCTGAAGAGGAAATGCTACAAGTTACAGGAGAAAATCCCTGAGAAAATGTAGTCCAGAACTAGGCCAAAGGGTGCCGTCCGGGGGTGTGCCTGAATTCCACCCTGGCCCAGCCTGTTCTCAGAGAGATTAGTGACCCTAGTTTCTCGTTAGGAGGGGTCATTTGGGAGCCGGGGTGGAGCAGGACACAGCGGGCACAGGGTGGGCTCCGGAGGTCCCGCGGGGTGGGGCGTCCGTCGGTGCCTCTGAGCAAGTCTCGGCCGTGGTCTCTTGCTGACCTTCTCGCCGGAGTCCACTCAGCACCATTCCAATCGCTTTTATTCCCCACGGGCTGCTGCCCATGTTGACGGGTAGGAATGAAATCAAAACCTTTCCCCGATGTTCAGGAGAAACCTTTCAACCAAAAAGCCTCAATCTTGCCTCCCCACCTCCCCATCTTTAGTCCTCCCTGCCAAGGGGCTGTAGGTTTCCTCATCACTGGGCCGGGCCGAGGTCAAGAAATTCTGAGGAGGTGAATGCGTGGCCCAAGGGGACAGCAGAGGTCTGCTCTGGCTAGCTGCATGGATCTCAGAGTCCTTCCCCATTGGGGAGCTGACGAGGAGAGGGCTACCCTCGCCAGCTCCTTCTGTCTCTGAAGGACGCTTAGTCCAGGGTGGTATGTGATGCTGGAACCATGACACCCTCAGGCACATGTTGGTGTGAAATCCACATCTGAATGTAAGAGGGTATTATTTGCTTTCCCAAAGCGTTACTCATTTGCAGTTCCTGAGCCCCTAGGGATCCACAATGATCGTCCTGCGGGTCCTCAAATACTTTTCAGTATTTCAAAAAGCTAAATGGGGGGCCACCCCATGGCCCAGTGGTTAAGTTCCCACACTCTGCTTCGGTGTCCCAGGGTTTCGCCAGTTCAGATCCTGGGCGCGGACATGGCACCACTCATCAGGCCACACTGAGGTGGTGTCCCACATAGCACAACCAGAGGGACAGCTAGAATATTCAACTATGTACTGGGAGGCTTTGGGGAGAAGAAGAAGGAAAAAAAAAGATTGACAACAGATGTTAGGTCAGGTGCCAATAAAAAAAAAAAGCTAAATGGTAAGCAGTTTCGCAGGTCGGTGAGGCAGCCCGGCAAACCGAAATGTCCGGGGGGTGGTTCTCATGGCAAGGCGTGTGCCTCATGGGGGAAAATATCATGGAGGGGGACCTCTGGGGTGCAACATCAGCCAGTGCTCTTGGATCGTCCACGTCAGTGGGCAGACCAGGGAGGGGACTGTCTGTGGAATGCCACCCACACACCCCTCACGCCTTCTTGCTCCTGCCTGAGCACTCGACGACTATTTTTAATGTGAGTCCAAACAGGCTGTAAACTACTCTGTCTCCAAGGATTATTTCACTTAAAAATTTTCTGTGTTATTCCTTACAAAAAGATTGTGTTACCTGGGTAGTTCTCAAGTTAATTCTTTTTGCATTTTCTATAAAAGTAATTTTGCTTTTACTTAACAAACATATAGTGCCTATTATGTGCCAGTCACTCTTCCTGGCAAATATGAACTTACATGATCCTCGTAACAACCCTGTTGACAAAATAGGAATGGCAAGCAATAGGACATATTGGAGTTTATGAGGAAGCCATTTGGTATAAACCTAATTCGGCCTGACTTTGTTTTTTTCCAAAAGGGCCTGACATGGCCATCGAGCATGCATTGCATATCTGCTTTAAAACATTTCCCATGGCAAGAACAAATGCCCTTAAGATAAAGGCGCAACTTCCCCCCACATTGGCATTTCCTTAAGGATAAGCATCTTTCCTTAGGCTAGGAACTGATTGCTGCACTCAACTTTGACCACCCAGCTCACCTGTGACCACCTAGCTCGAGACAGCAGACCTGCCACCCTGCTGTGTTCACCGAGACAGAAGACCTACCTGCTGTTTCCATCAATCACTGTGCCGAGAGAGCAGTCTCGTGACTATTGTAAAAGGGACATTTCAATCCTATGTGAAACATCCTGTGTCGGGGGATATAACCACTCTGTGCACCCCACTTCTTTGGTGCCCTTTCTTCCTTTGGGAAGAAAGGCCCCGGGCCATGGTCCTCAGATTTCAGCTCAGAATAAACTCTCCCAAATTTTCATTTATAGATTGGTTATGGATTATTTTCATCGACACTGTCAATAAGTATTAATTATTCCCATTGTGTGGATGAGGAAACCAAGGGCGAGAGGTTAAATGACTTGTCCAAGGTCAGGACAGTGTATAAGTTGAGGAGCCAGGATTCAAACCCAGGCTGTCTGCTTTTTAACCATTGTGCTACACTGCCTCTCCTACAGTGTGTTCATCGCAGAAAATTTACACACTACAGAAACACATAAAGAAGAAGAAAAAACCATGTGTAATCCTACCTTCCAGAGGGAACCTCTCCCGGAGTGTTTCCTTCCAGTCTTTTTACACAGAGCTATGGAGCAGCTGAAGATGCTGACAGCTAGAAGATAGAGTTACAACTCACATCGTGCATTTTCGCCAATATCATACTGTGTGCATTTTCCAAAGTTACTTTCAGAATGCAAAACTGGCTTGTTCACTGGCTGCATGACGTCACATCCCACAAATCTGTCCCGTAGCTTTGTTCTGTCTTTAACGCCTTCCCTGGGTCCCTCTGGAGGTGGATGGCAAGTGGCAACCCAGCCAAAGGTGCAGATAGTGCTTCCTCCATGTTACTCCAAGTTTCACCCAAACTCAGGAGGGTCAAAGTAGGGGCCAAAGGATGCTGACAGACGCAACGGTTTCCACCTGCCTCCTCATCCTGTCCCACAGGTGGGAGAGCGTGGGAGCAGGACCAGATGACAGGAGCCTGGGAAGGAGTCTTAACCCTTCTCTCCCCTAAGGGATGGTGGTGGCTGGAGGGGGAAGGGAGAGGATGTTTGTGGGAGCCTCTGGCAGAGGCCCCACCTGCCGTGTAGTCGTTACGTGATGGTTGTCAGGAGCATCTCACCCAAGAGAGCATAACCTCAGCTCTGTGCTTTTCCTGTGAGGAAGGCACCTGGTGGCCGCCCGGACCGAGTCCCATCAGCTAAGGAGAGATGGGCCATCTCCAGCCTACCCTGCTGGCCCAGTCTCACCCCACCATCACCCCCCCCCCCCCAGCTCCTTGCCACAAACATCAGTCTCCAGTAGCTCTCATGGGCTTCATTGCCAGCCCCATCCATTCTGCTCCCCAAAGCATCTCTCCTCCTGGCCTCTGCTCAAGCTGTCCCCTCTGCCTGGAGCACTCTTCCACCCTCCCTCCTTCCTTACTCCTGTTCATTACTTACTTACTCATTACGTACTCCTACTCAGTCAAGACTCAGCCAAGAGGCGCTGTGTTCCAGAAAGCCAGTCTTGAACCCCCCTCTCCCTAAGCCAGGTGGGGTTCCCTCCTCTCTGCTCCCACAACACTCTCTGCCTATGTCCCTCCTGGCACCACCTCATTTCATGTGTGAATCCTCCATCAGACACAGGGACAGGTTGGGTATTTCATCTCTGTCTCCAGGGCTTAATCGATGCCTGCCACATAGCAGGTGCTTAGAAAACGTTGACCGAGGACTGAAGGATGCCTCCAGAGGTTGGAGGGTGAGAGGCCACTCAGGTCCTTTCCTAGGACAGGTCAGGCTGCGTGTGAGCGGCCCAGGCATGGCTGCTCACTTACTTCCTTGTCCTCCCTTTGCCACCCCTTTGCTCCCTCCTGAGGCTGAGTCCGCTTGCCCTCTGATCCAGGTGGGAGCAAATGACCTACCTATTCCTCCTGTTTCCATTTCAAGCTTCCCCCAGCCTGAAGGTTCTGTGAGGCTGAGGCCCCTGGGTGTATGAGGGGAGAGACACACCCCTCTCCCAGCTGCTGGTTCCCGATCTGTAGAATGGCATGGATGAGGACGCCACTTATATTTGCTGAAGACTACGTGACCTTCAGTGCTTCTCAAGCCGGGGGGCTGGGAAAGGTGATGCGTTCGGGGCAGAGGCGAGGCAAGCGAGGCACTCACCTCAGGCACAAAATTTAAGGAGAGGTGCCCCAAACTCAGGAATCAAGGTAAGATATTAATGCGGTATTTTACAAAATCAAAATGAATACAAAAATCCATGATGGACAGAATACCAAAATTGTAAATAAAGGGGCCCGCCCGGTGGCACAGCGGTTAAGTGTGGCACCGCTTGGCATGCCATGCTGTGGCAGGCATCCCACGTATAAAGTAGAGGAAGATGGGCATGGATGTTAGCTCAGGGCCAGTCTTCCTCAGCAAAAAGAGGAGGATTGGCAGCTGTTAGCTCAGGGCTAATCTTCCTCAAAAAAAACAAAGTAAATAAAAAGCAGGTGTGACCCAGTGCTTGTGCTACCTGCCTCGTGCCCCTCAGACTAACCCCAGCCCTGATTCCAATAAAAGTTTATTCATGAAGGCAGGTAACCACTCCACTGGCCATATAGTTTTTTCATCTGATTTTCTAAAAATATTGCATTAGGGCCTGGCCCGGTGGAATAGTGGTTCAGTTCCACACTCTGCTTCAGTCGCTCAGGACTCGCCAGTTCGGATCCTGGGCCCAGACCTACATACTGCTCACCAACCCACGCTGTGGCAGCATCCCACACAGAAGAACCAGAAGGACTTACAACTAGGATATACAACTATGTACTGGGGCTTTGGGGAGAAAAAATTATATATATTGCATTAAATTAGTATTTCTCTTGATTACTGAGTTTTGTTGGTGTCCCTGTAAATTTCCCAGGAAAGTGCCTCACTTGCTTCACCCTAGTTGAAGGTGTCACCTGCCTGGAGGGGCTCCTGGAATGTAGCTGGGCCAGGGGGAGGTGTCAGGGATGTCAAATGTCCTGTGCTGGTCAAAACAGTCACGCCTTAAATGCCCCTGTTAGTAATGCGTAGGTGCACTGATACTCCAAATGAAAAGTTAAATAATGTTTGTTAAGCCGCTCACCCTTGCCCAAGCAAATGTCAATCAAAGTGTCAGGAGCCCAAGGGCACCAATCAAAGGCTTTTGGCTCCCTGCCAAGTGTTCTGGAAGCTGAACCTTCCTGTTGATGGCTACAGATCCGTCCTGCCTGGAGGACATGTGCCCTGGTGCTTTGTGCTTCACACGCAGTTGGAGATGACACCCATGGTTAGATTTCAGCCCAGTTTGCTCCAGTGGCCCACAAAGGTCCCCGAGTGGCTCCTGTGGGCCAGGCACAGGATTCCTCATGGGAGACGCAGTGGCAAGCAAGACAGCTCCAGTGCAGGCTGGGGGGTGGGAGGGACAGGCCCTAATGTTGGCCACTGAGGTAAGTGTGTCTAGACACACGCTGAGATAAGTAGGATGAGATAAGTAGGATGACCGAGGAGCCATCCTACACCAGGTGCCCCTCAAGAGGAGAAGCTGACCTGAGAAGCTGACCTGAGTGTGCACCACCTGGATACAGGGGTGGTGGCTGGTGGGGGTAGAGACAGGTTGTTTTGCCATGTCACACTGAGCTTGCCACCGTGACAGTCCTCAACAAACGTTATGTGGTGGTTAAGTACACGGACTCGAAAGCCAGACTGCCTGGGTTCAAATCCTGGCCTTGCCACTTATAACTGTGTGATCTTGGACAAGTTACTTAACCTCTCTGTGCCTTAGGTTCCCCATCTGAAAAAAGCAAATTAATGATAGTATTTACCTCATAGAGGATTTAGCAAGTTAACCTATGTACCTAGCTATTTTTACACTTTCAACAAATATTCACTGAGCTGGGGTGGTAGACAAAGAGGGAAGAATATTGTTCCCCTCGGTCAGGCAGTAGGGACACAATGCTGAGCTAAGACAGACTCAGCCCCTGCCCTCCTGAAGCTTATGATCTAGTGATGGAAGAAAGAGAGGCTCATCACAGAACTGTGCAGATCAGGAGTCAGGGAACTATGGCCCATCACCTGTTTTTGTGCAGCTTGCCAGCTAATAAAGGTTTTTACAATTTTTTTTTTTTTTGAGGAAGATTAGCTCTGAGCTAACATCTGCTGCCAATCCTCCTCTTTTTGCTGAGGAAGACTGGCACTGAGCTCACATCCGTGCCCATCTTCGTCTACTTTATATGTGGGATGCCTACCACAGCATGGCTTGCCAAGCGGTGCCGTGTCCGCACCCGGGATCTGAACTGGCGAACCCAGGGCCGCTGAAGCGGAACGTGCACACTTAACCTCTGTGCCACCGGGCTGGCCCGGTTTTTACAATTTTTAATGGGGAAAAAAATCAAAAGAAGAATAATATTTCATGACATATGAAAATATATGACATTCAAATTTCAGTGTCCATAAATAGCTTTACTGGGACGCAGCCATGTTTGTTTGTTTATGGGTCGTCTGTGGCTGCTTTTGCCCACAATGGCAGAGTCGAGTAGTTGCAACCGAGACTGTCCGGCTTGCAAAGCCTGAAATATCTACCATTTGGCACTTTTCAGAAAAAGTGTGCAATGCCTGACTTAAATCAATATAAATGTACAATAGTGGAAAGGGCCAAGAGGAGAGGTAGATGTGCTAGGAGGAGGAATAATTGGGGGAACTAGCCTCACTCGGGAAATCAGGGAAGGCTTCCTGGAGGAAGCGATGCTTGAGCTGCAATCTGAGATGACAGGGGTTATCCAGGCAAAGAAGGTCAGGAGGGTGCTCCAAGCCAGGAGGACAGCAGAAGCAAAGACCCCGCAGCTAGGTGGGCACAGCAAGCAGAGAAGGCTCGGGTGGCTGGAGGGCAAGGAGTGAAGGAGAGCAATTCGGGACCGGAAGGGTGGGCAAGGGCCAGGCTTTGAGGCCACACCAGGGGCTTGTCTTCATCCTGCAACTCCTGGAAAGCCACTGCAGAGTTTTAAGTAGGGTGAGCAATGGGGCAAGACCAGACTTACATTTCAGAAACATCAGTCCAACTATAGTGTTGAACAGAGATTTGGGGTCTGAGCTGGACAATAGTGGCTGTGGCTGGTCTGGGAGGGGATGGTGGTAGGGATGAGGGCAAATATTCCTACTGGAGAAATAGTAGGAGGTAAAGTGAGTAGGACTCGCTTATGGGTCGGATATGCGGCACAGGAGAGATGGGAGGTCAAGAAAACTCATTGGCTCTGACTCAGACACCTAAGTGGATGTTGGCTCTGCCATGTATTGAAATAGGAAACACGGAAGAAAGGACAGGTTTAGCAGGAGTGGGGGTTGGGGGGGCAGGATGGTGTTGATGGCAAGTTCCGGCTGATGTTGGCCTTGGGGGCCTTTGAGGCACACAAGGGAAGGTGCCAGTTTGCATATCTGGGCTAGATGTATAAAATGTGGGGTCGTCAGTGTACGGGTGGTGGTTGGAGCCATGAGTGTAGAGTGACAAGAGAGGGTGAAGTTCCAGAGCCTGTGGAACTGCCATTCGAAGGTCAAGAGTAACCGAGAATGGCCAGAGACGTGGGAGGAAAGCCAGGAGAGCATGTTGTCCTGCAAGCCCAGGGAAGACCGG